TGAATGGTCTAGATTTTTTTTGGAGGGGACTCATTTTGACTATATCTAAGGTTCCAATTGAACTTTTTTTTTTGAGGCGATTGATTATTGAGATGAAGAGAGTGTGTGTACAAAATTTGGGGTCATTCAAATGCCATAAACATGGTTTTCTAGAAGTGTCGTTGCATTATACCATGATAGTTGCATTGGATCATTGCTCTATACTGTATTTTAGTTTTACTTATATATATATTAGATTAAACTGGTGAAACTAGAGACAACATAAACAAACGAGCAATGATTTCATGCAACCGTTGTATAGTAATATGATACAAAAACCTTAAAAAAACCATCTTATGGCTATTTGTTTGATCTAAATTTTGAAATATACACTTTTTTTTATTATAATAAACAATTACAAAAAAGATAATTTTGAAAACACAACTTAGAAAATATTTTTTTAGCCCAATTAATATAGGTTATTCATTTTGGTGGGATGCTTATATCTAGGCCTCAGTAGGGTTTTTTCATTTCTAATTTTTTTGGATGGCTTTATTATCATTAGATGAACAATGTTAAAAGGAAAAAAATGATTTTGAGTTTATAAAGGCTAAGATCTTGAAATTCACAAAATGAATGGTCTAGATTCATTTTTGGAGGGGACTCATTTGACCATGTGTGTTTGCGCAAAATTTTGGGTCATACAAATACCACAAACATGGTTTTCTAAAAATGTCGTTGCATTATACTATAATACAACTGTTGCATTAGATCATTGCTCTAAACAAAAAGTTAGGATTGAGGGATGCTTTAGAATCTAACGATTAAAAATTGGTTAGACTAAGATAGAATAATATAGAATGTAAGTTTAGTAATAATAGAAGAAACGAGGAATAATTAAGATCGATAGCCAAGAAGCTCTTGAAATGTAATTTCGTTATCTTGTGTCAATAATCTATGAGAAAGAAGATATTGAGAAAGACGTTGATCATAGAATTAGGTCCAGGTGGACGAAGTGGAGCTGTGTTCTAGAGTCTTATATGATTGTCATATACCAATGAAACTAATAGGGGAAATTCTACAGGACGTCTATAAGGCTAGTCATGTTTTATGGGACGGTAATTTGGGCAGTCAATAAATAACATATTCATAAAATGAATATAGCTTAGATGATGATGTTGAGAGGACCGAGTGACAAGTCAATGAAGGATAGAATTCATAATGAATACATTTGAGGGAACTTAGGGGTAGCTTCAATAGGTGAAAAAATAAGAGAAAATATGAAGCGTCAACCTAAAACAACATCGGTTAGAAGGGTGCTTTGGTTCAAGTGAGAGGTTCTAAAAAAGCAAAGGGAAGGCACTAAAGGACATGGATGGAAGCAGTGAGAAAATATATAATAACTTATGTTTTGACAGAGGGTAAAGCCCTTGAGAGCATGAAATAATGGAATATGATTCATTTAACCAACGCCTAATAGTTGGGATAAAGCTCAGATGATGTGATATACGATTAAGCTCAATTTTGGGCGTACATACTTTTCACCATCACGTACTAGTAAAAAATACAAAAAATAATTTGAAAAAAATAAAATTACCCCTAAATTTTGTAAGGTATTTTTGTTATTTTCTTATTAAACTCAAATTTCGGGTTTACATACTTTCCATCATGTACTAGTAAAAAATACAAAAAATAATTTGAAAGGAATAAAATTACCACAATACCCCTAAATCTTGTAAGGTATTTTTATCATTTTTATTATTAAATTATTTTTTATTTTTATATAGGGTCATAATAGCGAGATGTATGGACAACCCAATTTTGATATTAATTTAATATAAAGAAAAGCATAAAATTAAAATATAATATTTGCTTTGGAAAAATGGGACTTGAGTGCAAAATATATAATATCGAGAACTATTTTTAAATTCTAAAAATAAAAAGAACTTTTTTATAATTTTTTCTAATAATAATACAAATCATAATAATAAATAATGATGGTAATGATGATGATGATCTTACTTGACTATTAAGGGATAAGCTAAAAAATCAAAGAAAAAGGTTTGAGAAAACTCTACAAAAATCCATGTGATTGAGGTTCTTCAATAGATTTAGAAATTAACATAGGCAAAAATTGGGTAGCTAAAAATACTCCCAAATAGGGTTTTAGGTGAGGTTATGGGCGATATGCTCTCTCCAGAGCATAAAATCTTGTCGCATATTACCAACAGGTTGGAAGCAGGCGATTGACAGGCTCTCTCCACATTAAATTTGGCTCCTTTTCTAATCTATTATTTTTTAAGAAAAATAAGGCAAACGTTTATATAGAGCCTAGGCTCTAAACAATCAATTAGAGTCTACTTCAAAACATTCATTAGAATAAGTTGTTTTGATACCCGAATATCATCAAATTGATAATCTCGACATCAAGATGAATGGACATGAGAAAAAAATGAATTTCAAGTTTTGGAAATAGGGCATCTTGTAACGCATTTTTCGACTGTCAATTTTTAAGATTTTCAAGTTTTCATAGATTTGATCGATCTACACTTTTTTGAAGCTTTAAATTTTATAACTAAAGATGAAAATATAATTTAAGGCTATCACAAAACTTTCCGGCATTGAAACCATATTTCTCGATACTATTTGAAGGTAGGCTCAAATTTGATTGTTTAGAGCCTCTGCTCCATACAAACCGCACCAAAAAAATAAAAAGATCAGTCCTTGACCACCTATCACTCTCACTTTTGGGACTCGTTGACTGTTAGATGGATGAGAGGCAGATTTTAAAAACAGGGTGCGGTTTGTTGTTTAAGGCTGAGGCCCCTAAACAATCAAAGTAGGGCGCACCTTCAAACAGTATCGAAAGATGTTGTTTCAGTGCTGAAAATCTTTGTGATAATTTAAAACTGTATTTTTATTTCTAATTATAAAATTTAAAGCTTAAAAAATAGTGTAGATCGAGCATATTTATGAACACTTGAAAATCTTAACAATTGACGGTCCAAATAATACACTATAAGATGCAGTATTTTAAGTACTTGAAATCCATTTTTTCTCATGTCCATACCTCTTGAGGATGAGATGATCGATTTGACGTTTTTTGGGTATCACAACAATAAATTTTTGTGAATTTTTTAGTTGCTCCTTAATTTGATGGTTTAAGGCCTCACGAAATTTTTCCTTAAAAATATACATATATAAATAGGACTTAACTTTCATGCTTGCATCTACCATATGGCAGCTACCACTCCGACAACCATGGCTTTATAAGGGAGCAAAATATGAGCACTTTTGTGGCCTAACTCACACCATGAGAACTCCTCAAGTTGCTCCAATACAATTACACCCAACGATTCCTATATCCTACTATAACACTCCTGTCTACTTGTGCTCGCCGAAATGGCCGGAGAAATCAAATTCCAGACTGTTTTTGCCGCAATCCGGCAACGAGAAGCATGTTTGTGTTACTGGGGGTGGCTCTTTTAGCCTTATCCTAGTGAAGGAGCTTCTAAGTAGAGGATACACAGTACGCCTCACTGTACATAGTGAAGGTCTTCTCTCAAAACCTTAATTCTATCTTCTCACAATATTCAGGCCAACTGCAAGTGCCAATCGGTCGTTTATTGAATTCATTTTATGTTTTAGTTCATTAATTTTTAACTTCATCTTGAGGAATTAGGGATTTTATGAGATATTATTAAAGTTAATCCTTTCTAGTTTTTATTATTTCTTATTTTAACGCATTTTAACTGACATCACAGGAGAGATGGAAACAATGGAAAAAATAGAAGATCTATGGAGTGTAGAGAAGCTCTCAGCAAAAATGTCAGATATTGAAAGTTTATGCGATGCTTTCCAAGGGTGCGGTGCTGTGTTTCACACGTCTTCCTTCATCGACCCACATGGTCTCTCCGGCTACACGGTTAGCCCATAACCTTAGATTATGATTTTTTAAATTTGACCCAATTTTTTATATAAAATTCATTTTTGTTTTATTTCACTAGCAGAAAAAGGTTAGGTTAGTTTGTTTGGGCTTTTTGGGGACAAACCTAAAAAATTTGAATCCTGGTCTTCCCTCACCCAAACATATATGTCTACCACAAAGTATAAATCCCCTGGGAGAAACTACCGGAAGAGAGGTCGAGGAAACCCCACTCATCCAAATTGACACGTCCTTTGGGGCGTTTTGATAAGTGGGAGTTTTTAGAAGCAGGAGTTAAATGTCCTACTTCCATGTTTGATATGGAAAGTGATAGGGCGACTTTTCACATAACTTTTTTGTTTTTAGTGTTAAAATGAGTTATTTTTTTCCATAAAATATGAGCATAGTATGTGCACTCTAATTTGTAATTCTTGACACTTAGTTGTCAAGGGGTTTAGGTTAAGGGTCACTTTATAGTGACTGCTTAGACTTATCTCAAAGCATTTTCTCTTTTTCGTTCTTCTAGTAGAATCAATCGAGAAGTATGCTAAGGACCTCAAATTTTCAGGATCTAACCTTTTGCATCTAGGGACAAATCTCAAAAAATTAACAAATTTTAGTTGGACTATGTAAGTAAATTCCAAATTGTGAATAGGGGCCATAGAATTTTCGGAGGGTTAAACCTGAATATTAATATTAAATAATCCTTTTTTTGGATCCGATTCTTAGGTGGATCCTGAAATGTTGAACAAAAAAATTCTTCTAAAGTACCTCTTTGAAGGGAGGAAATGGACAATGCGTTTTTTTTTTTTGTAAAATGGATAGTGTCCTTGCAGTAGCATAGTATACCCACTCGTTGAGGATATCGGGACTTATGACATTTCTGAAGATGTAGCATTTAATAGAGCAAAATGGAAAACCCGGATTCATGTAGCTAACCCCAATTAATTGGAAAAAAACTAAAATGATAATGATAATACCCACTCATCTTACTTAATTGAGAATTAAGTTTTTTTTACAATGAACACTGCCCACAAAAGAGTGCCAACAATAACACCTTGTACACTTACTCCCTTACGTAAAAAGTAAAAGACTTACTAGGAGTATTTTTTTATCTCAAATTTTGGATTTGACTTCTAGAATTGCTAATGAATATTTTTGGAAAAATAAAATTGGATTTCAAATTTCTAAACTCTTATATTTGACCATCTAAAACTTGCATTATTTCCATTTTATCTTAGGCTTTTTTTTCTCTTTAGACAATAAAAAAAATGCAAACTTTTTTTCCATTACCAGTTTTTTTAAGGTTGGTCGCTAAGTTGAGGAGGTTACGTATCTAAAATTTGGGTCCTAAAAATTCTTTTTGATACGGTTTGTAGAGCACATAATCTTTTGTCTAAAATCATTAAGCAAATAAAGAAGCCAAAAAATTTTATCACCTTTTCACTATGCCGTTGTGTATAGGTGCGCTTGTTGGGAGTACGATGACATTTACTCCCTCGAGTAAAAACCTATTTACGATTGTTTTATTTTATCTAAAATTCTGGGATCCACTTTAAAGTCAATGGATGAATATTTAGAAAAAATAAAATTTGAGTTTTTAAACACTTAAATCTAACCGTCCAAAAGTTGAACAATTTTCGTCAGATCTTAGAATATTATTCTTTTTAGGCAAATAGAAGGAAAAGGTTTCTATACGTCCCCTACAACATAAAAGATTTGTGCTTTCCCCTACAATCCATCCGTCCAATTTTGATCAACTGAGCACTCACCATTTGATCTTAGATCCGATGCCTCAGAATATTTATATTTTTTATTTTTTATACAAATTGTGCGAATATGAAATTTGGTACGTGTCATCTTCTCATTGGGGGCTCACCTACAAAAAATATTTAAAATAATTTTTTGATAAAATATAATGACCAAAATACCCTTTAAAGCTTTCAAGGGTATTTTGGTTATTTTATTTTATTGGGAATGTTATTTGACGTCCAAAATTTGGTGTCAAAATAGTTTATAGAAAAAAATTAAAAATAAAATAGTGTAGAGATATGACTTTGTGATTGGGGCAATCTTAGCCCTCTATTCAGAATGGACGGTTGGATAAGGAGAAGTATGTAAATTTTATGTAGTGGGAAAAACATAGAAAGCTCGCCCAATAGAGAATATCTATGACACTTTTTTTTTTTTTCCTTGTTGCGATTGGTCACTAGATTGAGGAGCTTGAAAGTTGCAATCCTAAAAATACTCCCAGATGAACAAGTTTTTTATATATACCAGCCAAATCAATTATCTTCTAATATTTTGGCTAAAATGTTTAAACAAGTCAAAAAGCGAAAAGATTAATATGCTTTGGCAGGAGCATATAAAATAAGGTTTTCACATAAGGGAGCATTTACAAGCCCGAGCATATAAACTTCTAGTATTTCATTGAAATCACTAAGTAAAAAATTCGTAGGATTATGCGCTGCCATGAGATTATATTGTCCATTCATTAAGTAAAATTTTTATGGAGTATTAACTCTGGTACAAGGAGGTCACAATTATTTATAACTATCAAATGTGAAATTTGATAGCTTAAGTATATCACAAAGTTTGAAAAATTTTCTTTTGAATTTTGAGCTTGGTCAATTGAATAAATGTAACCACCCGATTTCACATCCAATGGTCAAAATTAATTATGATAATCTTGTACCAAAGCAAATGGTCTCATTGTATACTTTTCTTTGTTTTCATGACCCCAAGTTTTGGCGATACAAGTTGCTCAACCTAACGGCCAACGTCCAAAAAAGAATAAAAAATAAGAAGTGGTGAAATTTGTCATACGCATTCTATCATCATCATATCCCAACTATTTGGGGTCAGTTGCATGAATCTTGTTTTGCTATTTCATTTTATCAAGGGTCATACCCGGAGTTTAACCATACATCACTATATTTCTTTTCACTATTTCTATCAATATCTTCTTGGGTCTTCCACTTGCCCTTTTAAAGCCTTCTGCCTTAACTAAAAAAAAAAACCTCTTAAGATTGAGCAGATGACCGTTCAATTCTTATATGCTCATATTTAAGTTTGAAGGAAATCTAAATCCATTTTTCACTAAAAATGTTCATGTGGATTTCAAAGCCGATCCAAAAAATTCTAACCGGAATAACTCCTCCAAAAAGGAAGTATACATTATGCCCCTTAGAGTACATTAGATGACATCACCCAAGATGGGATTATTATTTCTACCACCATGTGGGCCCAAGCAGGAAACAAATAAGAGATTGCTACTTCCATTGCTGTTGGTGATCACTTCTTGTTATTTGGAAATTATACTAACAATAATAGTGGTGATAAACCTCAGGGATTCTTGATTGAATGGCATATGGATGCAGGAGAGAATGGCCAGCTTGGAAAGCAAAGGAGCTGAAAATGTGATTAAAGCATGTGCAAAGGCACGTGTGAACAAGTGCATCCTCACCTCCTCTCTCTTGGCTTGCATTTGGCAATCCCCAACCACCGCCACCACCACCACCACCACCACGATAGACGAGTCATTTTGGAGCGACGAAGCCCTTTGTAGGGAAAACAAGGTATTTCTTTAGTTAGGGGCTGGTTGGGCACTTCAAATTATTTTTGATATTTTAGATAAGGGTTTTGTTAGGGTACTCCTGCATACTTGCTTATTTTTGCTTTATGTTTTTAAAATAATTTGAAAACTAAAGGGTCAACAGGAATGGCGCGAAACCTATCATATTCAAGGAACAAAGGTATTGATTTGATCTAGTTCCATATAATAAGGAAAAGAATAAAAGAAGATTATTCAAGTTTGCTTAGTTGGTAAGAATGGCTTGGGGTTTGGTAGTAGTATTATTGAGCCTCATAGTGAGGTCTTTGACTCTATTCTCACCAGTGTTTTAAAATGCGGGATGCGGCTATGATGTGGTAGGGGGCCGATGCGGCCCGGATGCGGGTGCATCGTGATGATGTAGTCAATAAATGTAAAAAAATTCTAAAAAATCTAAAAAAATAAGATAATGCATAGAAAAAATTATGAATGTGATATATGTGATAGTAGGTATTTTAGTTTAATGATTAACTTCAAAACTATTAGTTGTCGAAGATCCACTATCCCCTGATAGAAACTAGAAACTTGAAACCAGCTTCATAAAGCATTCAACAATAAAAACCATCAGCAGAAATTTACACTATAAGCACAACTATAATTAAGCACAACCATCAACAACCATAAGTACAACCATAAGCACAAAATAATGATATTACAAAATACAAATCAAAAGTCAAGCTCAAGAAGAGTTAATAGTTAATAAATAATAACTTAATACAATCATCCATTTTGAGAGTCAATTTTGAAATTTGAACTTCATTTTTTCAAATATCAATCAAACAAGTCATCTTGAGAGTTGTTATGCGCATCATCAATATCATCCTCGACGGCTTCTATATATTCTTCTTCATTGGTCTACTCTGAGTCAGCTTCATCCTCGACCTCTGAAGCTAATGTGCGAGTGCGACTAGACCCAGTAGCTATTCTACTCCTTTGTGCTCTAGTGTTACGTCGATTTTCTTCATTAGCCCTTGTTGCTAGCTCGAGATTAAGCCATGTAAGATCCTCACCCTCAAACATACGCTCTTTGTCTAGGATCCATGGTCCACTCACTTATGGAATCACCATCAACTGCATATAATTAAATAGGGTTGAACTTCATGTGATTTTCATATCTCTCCCTAAGCCGGTCGTTATACCGTACATAAACCAAATCATTCAACTTTTTCTGCTCCAATTTATTTCTTTTGTTTGTATCGAGCTGTAGTAGAAATTTGAAATTAGATAAATTAGATTTTAGATTAGAAAATTGAAATTCAAGAAATAAGGATTAAGGAATAAAGAGTAAAGGACTTACATGTACTTCAATTACGCTCACAGCCAGATGAGCTACATGTGAGATTCAACACTCGAATAGCGAGACGTTGTAGATTTGGTGTCTCGCTTCCATATAATGCCCACCATGCAGCTGTATAATATTTTATAATTTAGAATATAGTTAAAAATAAGGGTATAAAATAAGAGACAAGTAAGATTATTTTTGGGCTTTTGGCCTTTATCTGGATATGTAATGTCCCTATTTCGAGTGGCAATATCTCTCCCAAAGTTTCCCAATGCTAACTTGAACTTAATCAATTCATGATTCTGAATCTCATACTGGATGTCTTTGTCTGGCACCAACCTCTCCAGCGCATCTAAGAACCCACAATTTATTACATGATCTGACTCAATGGATGATTGATTGTAGTGAAGAGATGGGTTTAGAAAATAACCGGCAGAATGGAGGTGCCTCAGCTCTATATAAACTTAACCTACTATATATATATATATATATATATGATCTAAAAAAATGCCTACAGGCGAAAATGAACAGTGATTTCGCCTACCCTCATCGCCATCTAAAGTTCATCGTACGGTCATGATTGTCTAGTACTGTTTTATTTTTTTATTCATTTTTATAAATCAGAATGACTTGAAATTTGGATTGTGTGTTAAAAACAGAAATGTAAATCTACTAAAAATATCAAAAAAATATTTTACATGGAAAATTTTGATCAAAATACCCCAAAATATTTATAAGGAATTTTGGTCAATATATTTTTTACGAATTATTATTTTTTATATTTTTATTAAGTTCTCATCACTAAGATGTATATATGCTCCAAATTTTATATCATTCCGATTTGTTAAAAAAAACATGAAAAATAAAATACTACCAGACAATCGTGACCATGCGATGAACTTTGGACGGTGATGAGGGTAGGCGAAAGCACTGTTCATTTTCGCCTATAGGCATTGGGAAGACTTTTATATATATATATATATATATAACCTGGGTAAAGGAGATGGGTTACGCTATGTAGGCAGTCCTAAAAGAGAATAATGGAGCAACAAGATTCATGCAGCCCGATCCCAAAACATTAGGATAAGGCTTGGATGATTATGATGGTGATGATTAATTTTCTATCCTGGTCAATCATTCTGTTTTATTAAATGTCATATCTCATAAGTCCCTATATCTTTTCTCACTACTGCCAACCATGTTCTTTTGGGCCTATCCCTTGCCATTTATTGGCATTTTACTTAAACTAACAAACACATCTTAACATGTGTTGTAGTGGGTCTGTGCTACACATGGCCAGCTCACCTAATTGTACTCTCTCTCATCTTATCTTTTATTAGTGCACACCTAAAATTTTCGACATGTATTCATTTTGAAATTTCCTATTCCCGATCTCCAATTTTTTTGAGTTATTGCTTGGTCAAAAACAACGTAATTGCCTGGTTAAAGATAATAATACATTTTTATCATCTTGAAAATTCAATTACAATAATAAAAAACATATATAACATAAACATCTGATTAGTAATTTTTATGTTTTAGATTCAAATTTGGAAAGATATTAAATTTCTTTTTATTGAGCAGCTATGGCTAGCATTGGGAAAGACAACAGCAGAGCAGAAGGCATGGAGATTGGCAGAAGAAAGGAAAGTGAAAATGGTGTCAATATTACCTGGTCTTATCCCACCAGTCTCTCTTCACTCCAATCTTGCTACTTCAGTGGCCTATCTAAAAGGTTCTCTCGATATCACTTACGGGCACTTTATATATAGTCGTGGGAGGCAAGGCACACAGGGGATAGG